TTGAAGGAGAGGAAGTTTAGGTTAGATATTAGAAAAATGGTTTTTTGCTATAAGGGTGGTGTGACATTGGAACAGGTTGCCCAGTAACGTGGTGGCTGCCCCAACCCTGGCAGTGTTAAAAGCCAGGCTGGATGAAGCCTTGAGCACCCTCGTCTAGTGAGGAGGTGTCCCTGCCCATGTCAGGGAGGGTTGTGACTAGGTGATCTGTAAGGTCAATTCCAGCCCTTAAAATTCTGTGATTCTATGATTATTCATAGAAAAAAACAGACCAACATGCAGAATAAGACCAACATGCACAACTCAACCACAAGAAGGTGGAGTCTGAGATCCTTGTGGCAGTGAGGAGGACACACAGCAAGCTCACTGCCCTGGACTTCAGGAGAGCAGACTTTGGCCTCATTAAAGATCTACTTCATAGAGTCCCATGGAATAAAGCCCTGGAGGGCAGAGGGGCCCAAGAATGCTGGCTGATAATCAAGGATCACCTCCTCCAAGCTCAGGAATGATGTATCCTGACAAGAACAAAATTGGGCAAAAATGCCAGGAAGCCTCCATGGGTGGATCAGGAGGTTTTGAGCAAACTCAGAGCGAAAAAACAGAAGGTGGAAATGGAGGACAGAAGGTGGAAATGAGGACAGGAGGCCCAGCAGCAGTACGAGGAAATTGTACAGGAAGCTGGAGATAAGGTTACAGAAGCCAAGACCCAGTTAGAATTGAGTCAGGACAAAGATGTCAAGGGTAACAGGAAAGGCTTCTATAGATATGTTGCAAACAAAAGAAAGACAAGGGATAATATGGGCAATCTCTGAAAGGAAACAGGAGACCTGGCTACCCTGGACAAAGAGAAGACTGAAGTTCTCAATGACCTCTATGCCTCAGTCTTCAACAGCAAATGCTCCAGCCACATTGCCCAAGCTGAGAATGGCAAATGCAGGGACTGGGAGAATGAAGACCCTGAGCCCACTGTAGGGGAGGATCAGGTTCGAGACCATCTAAGGAATGTGAATGTACATAAGTCCATAGGATCCTCAGGTCTTGAGGGATCTTGCAGATGAAGTTGCTAAGCCACGTAATTTTCAAAAAATCATGGCAGTCAGGTAAAGTTCTTGATGACTGGAAAAAGGGAAATATAATCCCCATTTTTAAAAAGGGGAAACTGGAAGATCTGGGGAATTACAGAACGGTTGGTTTCACATGTGTGCCAGTCTAGATCATGGAGCAGATTCTCTTGGAAACTATAGTAAGGCACATGGAAAACAAAGGTGATTGGTAACAGCCAACATGCCTTTACAAAGGGGAAGTCATACCTAACAAATTTGGTGACCTACTATGACATGGCTACAACTTTTGTGGATAAGGGCAGAGCATCTGACATTGTCTGCTGGACTCACGCAAAGTGTTTGATACTATCCCTCATGACATCCTTGTCTCTAAATTGCAGACACATGGACTTGATGGATCAACAACTCAATGGATAAAGAACTGGCTGGATGGTCACATGCAAAGAGTTGTGGTCAGTGGCTCATTGCCTATGTGGAGGCCAGTGATGAGTGGTGCCTCTCAAGGGTAAGTGCTGGGGCTGATACTGTTCAACATCTTTTTGTTAGGGACATGAACAGTGGGATCTAGTGCACCCTCAGCAAGTTCACTGATGACACCAAGCTGTGTGGGGTAGTCAACCTGCTGGAGGGAAGGGATGCCATCCAGAGACGCCATGCCAGACTTGAGAAGTGGGCTGATGCCAGCCTCATGAAGTTCAACAAAATGAAGTGCAAGATTCCACACCAGGGTCATGGCAATCCCAGGCATGCCTACAGGCTGGACAGAGAAATGATTAAGAGCAGTCCTGTGGAGAAAGACTTGTGGGTGATGGGTGATGAAAAACTCAACATGAGCCAGCAGTGTGCGGTCACAGCCCAGAAAACCAACTGTGTCCTGAGCTGCATCAGAAGCAATGTGGCCAGCAGGTTGAAGGAGATGATTCTGTCACTCTACTCTGGTCTTGTGAGACCCCACCTGGAGTAATGTGTACAGTTCTGATGTCCTCAACATAAGGAGGACACAGAACTGTTGGAGTAAGCCCAGAGGAGGCCACAAAGTTGATAAGAGGACTGGAGCACCTCCCCTACAAAGAGAGCTGAGAAAGCTGGGGTGATCAGCCTGGAAAAGAGAAGGTTGCATGGAGACCTTACAGCAACCTTACAGGGAGACCCCACCTGGAGTAATGTGTACAGTTCTGATGTCCTCAACATAAGGAGGACACAGAACTGTTGGAGTAAGCCCAGAGGAGGCCACAAAGTTGATAAGAGGACTGGAGCACCTCCCCTACAAAGAGAGCTGAGAAAGCTGGGGTGATCAGCCTGGAAAAGAGAAGGTTGCATGGAGACCTTACAGCAACCTTACAGGACCTGAACCTATAGGGATGGAGTAAGCCCAGAGGAGGCCACAAAGTTGATAAGAGGACTGGAGCACCTCCCCTACAAAGAGAGCTGAGAAAGCTGGGGTGATCAGCCTGGAAAAGAGAAGGTTGCATGGAGACCTTACAGCAACCTTACAGGACCTGAAGGGGACCTATAGGGAAGCTGGAGAGGGACTTTTCATCAGGAACTGTAGTGATAGGACAAGGAGTAATGTGTAAGGGCTGCAAATTGAAAGAGTGGATATTTGGGGTAGATACTGGGAAGAAATTCTTTACTGCAAAAATGATGAGATATTGAAACAGGTTGCCCAGGATGGTTGTGAATGCCCCAACCTTGGCAGTGTTCAAGGCCACGTTGAATAAGGCCTTGAGCAACCTGGTCTAGTGGGAGGTGTCCCTGCCCATGGCAAGAGGGGTTGGGACTGGATGATCTTTGAGATCCATTCCAACCCATTAACATTCCAGGATACTATAAGTCATGAAGAACTAATTTAAACTTAACACATCAGAACTTCCTGTTCTAGTCAGGAAGATAGGAACATACAGTTTATTCTTTATTTTAATTGTTAGGTAGTCATTTTACTTGGTTAAATCTGAGGGTCATGATTCTACTCAGCCAATACTCTCATTTAGAAAACTAAGAGCGTTGCTCGTGTTATTGGTACTTCTACCAGAAAGTGTTATTGCACGTATTAGAATAATAGAAAATCTTTGATGACTGCTTCAGGTTGCAGCTAAAAATTCATTTTGTCAATCCATAAGCCTACATATTTTATTAAGCTATTCTGGTAATAGTTCAACGTTTTAGGGTGAATAGGTATTATGGTCAGTTTTCAAGAGTAATGGGGTAAATAAATTTCACCTATCATAGGCAAGTCATCAGCTGGATCAGTTGGACTATTTCACTATAATTCTATCTAAAAACAATATGCAATCTTGATCACCAAGTGTGTTTTTCTTCCTAAAATTAGTCTCAATTCTTGCTGATGTCCATCAGCAGATTTAAAGAATTAAATAAAGGATGCCCTAAATTCTCTTAGTGGCTCTTGTGAGCTACAGTTTTTGTGAAGCATAGTGCAGAACATATGTTAAATGTAAATGATTGTTAGGAATTTATTTATTTGCTTTATAGTTCTGTTGGTTTTGGATGAAGAATAAACTTTGCTTTCAGCAGAGTCCCACAGGCATTATTATTACAGGATTTACTGCCTCATATGAAACACTGAAACAGCACTTAAGAAGGAGGCCTGAAATGACGATTGTAGTATAATAATATAACTGCTGGATATTCAATCCCAGCTGAGGATTTTGAGAAGTTGTGGGATTTTGTTTGGTTGGGGTTGTTTTTCTTGTTTGGTTGGTTTTGTTTGGTTGGGTTTTGTTCTTGTTTGATTGCTTTCTTAACCTCAAAAAATGTAAATAAGTAAATGACATAATATAAAAAGAAAATCAAACTCTCTACAATTAGAATCTGAAGTCACACAGCCCATGAATCAAATAATTATTTTTCATAGTCATAGGGCAGACTGATGATTGAATTTGGTCTGATTTTCAGCATGGATTTGACTGGATTTGCTTGGTCTGAAATCTGATTTGTGGGTAATAAGAAAGCAAGTCATAAAATGATAACTTTTGGAGGTTAAGTGTCAGAAAGAAATTATAAATGCAAGTTATGGAAAAGGAGTCACCAGAAGGAAGAAAGTGGAGAAAATCCCACACAATTCAAAAGAATAGGAGTTCACATTTTTCAACAGTCAAATTCAGAGTGTACATAACCTTCAGATTGAATGCTGATATTAATCAGAAAATTCTTGATGGACTGAATTACAGATTCCACACATTCTCCACACCCTTCCTCCCCACATCCTGGCATGAGCTACAGGAGAGATACCATAGAAGAGATTTGTCTTCAAAATAATGTATACTGACTCTTTGCTTAAGATATATACTCTAGATCAGATGCAGCTGAAACACAATGACAATTTCACTGGTTAACTGCATTTTATGCCAGATTAGATTTCAGTAGTGTTAGGAAGAGTTTATGAATTCTTAATTTTTACCCTTTTTTTTGTGTGATCATTTTTTGAGTAAACTACACAGAATATGAATCACACTGACAGAATGTGGCAAGTCAGTTATTTCAATTTCTGCTGATATGTGTTGCTAGCCATTCATTAGAATATAATTTAATTATGCTGGGACCTGTGGACATGATTGGAAGTTCTCTGTTGTTTCTGTGGACCAGCTATTCACTGTGTTGGCGATTACTTTCAGCAATTCTTTCGCGCTTTATTTTCGTTCTTGAAACATGCCACTTCAGCTATTTGGTGTAAGCAAGCACAGAGGGAGATTACTGTTGTTTTTTCAAGTACACAAAACACTTACTTGCAAGATTAAGTACTCGATTACCCAACAATGTTAACATAAGATATTTTACTCAGCAAATTATTGTATTCTGGCAGCCGATAGCAATGATTTCTTATATTTCTCATACTTTTCAGATGATGCACAACTCTAATATGCACCCAGAATTCTCTCAGATATGTGAAAAAAACATACTGAAAACTAAGAAAAAACCTACCTGACCGTCCATCCCGTTGAAAATCCACATGGTACCATTCACCATCATTCACCTTCTTCTGCAATGCTTTTATTTTTATAGTACCTGATCCCATGTCTAACAGCAGGTAGAGGTGGCCATCAAGCATCTCAATGGCAAAAAAATCAACCTTCACCATCTGCGGATGTTTAGCATCTTTCTGGTGCCTTGGTTTCCCATGACTGAAAAGAATCAGGCCATTTGGCTCAGTTGTACGAAAGTCAAATGATATTGAGCCTGTTTTCTTGGCATTCCACTTTGGCAAAGAGATGAAAGACTCTGGTGTTTCAAACGTGATGGGATCTAAGGTTGCAACATTCTCACATTTAAATGCTACAACCCCATGAATCTTCATTTTAGGATCTCCTTGCTTGGCAAGTCGAGACAATTCCAACCTGACATCATTATTTTTATATACAACCTGCAAGCAAAGCAGAGAAGTTACTCAGAGAAATGACCATTTTACCCAAACAGATATAATCCTGAATAGGCACATTATTTAAAGGATAATAATGATGATACATGAATACGATAATTTACATACAGACAAAATTAAATAACTGTTTTCATTGACTAATGATTTAATAATTTTTTCATTAAACCAAACAAAGTTGCTCTAAAAATATCCCTAGAGTTAATTCCAATAATTTGAAAGAATCAACACACAATTCATACCATGAGTTGCAAATTAGTTGGTGTGGCCTTGATTACTTAAAAACCCTCTTTGTACAGTCATTCTGCTATCTTAGAAAAGTATTAGATTTCTTTTTCCTCTAAAGCTTTTGTCACTGTCTTAACTCTTCTGTTATTGTACAGAAAATGTACCAAGGTTGGATACTTCATAATTTTACATCTTTTCAGTTTGTCCCTGGGGCTGAGGAATAGCAGCATTCATAGTATTCATGAAGCTACAAGATAAGCAAATGAGTATCATACAGACCAAAACAGACAAATCAGGAAAATCTTTAAGGCCATTCAATTGGACAAAATATAAACCACCTTATATCTTTTACATGACTGAAGACTTTTCTGATAAAAATGAAAGACAATATTAGTTTTAAATCCAATTGACCTCCACAGCAAATATTCTTGCTTCAAATCACATTTTCCCTTGGTCCAGAGAAGCCTGTTTTGATATAGCCATTTCCCAGGGCTCTAGTCTTTATTAGTATATTCTAAAATTCTTGCTATTTCTATGTTATCTGGGATACAAGGGTTGCTTAAATGAAGCTCTCCAAGAACAAAGGAGTGCACAAGTATTTTGTCAATATTTTTAATTGTGCAATAAATGATACACTCTAGCTAGAATACCACTGGAGGGCTGAATATGAACCCACAGTAACAGAAGCTAAAACCTTCTTCTCTGTTTCTAAGGTTAAGCCCTACATTAAAAAGCAATTTGGAGAAAAAGCATCAGCTCAGCAAAAACAAGCACTTTGTGCTGAGGCTTCTTCATCGACAGATCTATACCATTCAGGACTAAACCAAGTCTGACCCCTGATCCAATGTTCCAATTATACAGTGTAGTTTGAAGCTATTCAGGGGACCAATCACTGGTTTAGACCTTACATCCCTATTAGCAGTTAGAAAGTGCTTGCTGAATACTTAGGATAGAGCTTCTAGATTAATTTCCTCTGAGACCTAGTTTGAACACAAATGAAATCCACTCTGACACAGAGTAAGTGCAAGACATGGGGAATGCACTGTAGGACTGTGCTACTGTTAGAAATCAAAACACTAGCATACACACAGTCTAAGATGGCATACCTCATAAGTGATAGTGGCTACTGAAAAATGGTGTATAGAGATCACAGAACACTAAGGAAATGATTGATAGAGTGATATAATTTTTATTGTAAGATTTGTGTTCTTTTAAATTATATCATTATCCACCCTGAAAATTTCAACGTACGACATGGCACAAGTATTCTACTACATTAAAATGTATCCTGAAAGCTAATGAATAAGCCTATTTCTACATTTTATTTCAGAGTTGAATACAAGTGGTGCTGTTCCTATGGGAGCTGTGTCTCCAAAGACAACAGATAAGCCTCACTGTGGATTGCTGACAGCACAAGTGATACTCTGCCACAGAGCGGCAGATAATGCATTGTGTTCTTTAACTGAACACATCAGAAGTGAATAGAATTGGACTAAACTATAATATTAGAGAGTGAGAATCCATAATTCTATTTATCAAATACAGCTGTGAGACCATGGAGATCACAGATTGTGCAAAGGAATTTAGAAGAGTTCTGGAGAATAAACACATGCAAGTGATGTCCCTTTGGGGTGACTTTCTGTCTTTAGAGTAAAAAAAGCCAAAAGGTATAAGAATGCAGCAAGAAGCCAGTTGACTGGAAGGTTCCTTAGAGATAGGTAGTTTCATGAAACATTGGCCACTTTCTATGGCAGAAGGGATTTTGAACAGCTTCCACCTCATTTGAAGAAGTTTCTTTGATTGCCTACTGAACAAAGGTATGTTCCAGGACAAGGTGAATAAATGTACAAAGATAATTTCTTGTTTATGGACAAATCAAACTGTCTGAAATTAATTAAAGCTGGTTGACTGAATATTAAAATTAGAATTTAATAGCTAGATTAGAAAAACTGAGCAGACAAAAGGAGAGCTAAGCTTTCCTTTCTGTTTAAAACAGCTTTATAGGCTTTGAAATAATTTGCAAACTCAGAAACAATATTTTTTTTCAAAAAAATATGGTTCAAGAATCTAATGGACAAAGTACAAACAGGAATATTGACAATAGTTTTCTCAATAACTTGTCACCACCTCTTTAAGCAGCTTAATATATTAATATATGAGAGAAAAGTTGCTAGAACAATGTAGTAACAGTGGCAAATATTGTCAACTTAATCCCACCAATATTAAAACATTCATGGAATCCCTAAATATTGCATATGACAATTTCTTGCTTCCATATTCCACAACTGAAGCTTCATAGTTACTTGAGAAGCAAATGATTGCATCTTATTACACTCATTGTGAGAAACTGAATAAAGTCTACATCTAAGTTTTAGAGTGCTTATGTTCTAAGTTTTAGAATGCTTATATTCTTTTAATCTTGCTAAATGGAAAATTTGGAACTGAATTACCATGGATAATTAGTATTAAAGCAGGAATATATGAACCATAACTGAAAAGAACTGTAAACTATTAACTGAACACAGCTAGCTGGCATTTGGAAGCCCATTTCCTGGTGTTATGCTGAGAATCTCAGTCCTCTCCCTGTCCGTGAAAAATATACTCAGACATCAGTGAAGCACAGCAAAAAGTAGAAAAGCAGTATGTTGCCATTAAATTTTTGGAAAACAACTGAATGGTAAGGAATAATTCTGAGACTAACATCTGCTTTCTAACTCGTGAAGGTATATGCTTCAGAAACAATAGCCCCCTTGGGCACAAATAATTTACTCATTTTTTATTTTCCAATGATTCTGCCTTCCAGTTTTTTCCTTCTAGGTGTATAAGGACAAACATGTTTTTAATAGAGCTTATATTATCCCCTGCAATTTCCATCTAAGGCACCCAACATATTGTTCTCTAGTGTTAACTCAATACGTTCTCCCTCCATTAGAGACATGAATCCACAATTAGTCAAGTGAAGGTAATTTGCAGCAGAGAAATGTTTGAGACACATTCATCTTTACTCCCACACAACCTTCTAGTCAGTATCCTTGCACCACTGTATGCTTTCCTACCATCCATTGGGTTGACCCTGGTAATAACTTGTTTGCTCTTGCACTCACTTTCATATCTGAGTAACAATGTAAGCTTCCTGCACGTGAAACTACCAGCCCTGAGGGAAATGTATCATGCTATTAAGAGCACCTTGAATTTGTCTTCTATTCACTGTATTCTTTCCTCTTAATATTAAGTAAGTTTCAAAATCTTAGTCTTTAAACTACATAATTGCCTCATTCTTGGAAACTCCAAAAGGTCACCTAAACTCCCAAGAAAAATGGAGCAGTTAGCAATTCCCCACATAACTCACAACCAAACTATACAAAGCAAGGAACAAAAGTGTTTTCCAAGAGAGACAGGGCAGAATTACATATTGTTTTACACTCAAGATGCAAGCTTCCTTTGCGACTGTCTAGGCCAACCACATACTGGGTACCTTGCAATATCACAGTGCTGAGTCTTAACAAATAAGTCCAGATATGAGACAGCAATTATTGCCTTAAGCTCAGCACTCTTTTTAACATGGTCTCTGGTCATCTTGGAGCACAACGTAAATTAATTCATGCTTCCCAAAAATATATCATGTATATATTTTTTCAATCCAGGTCCCTAGTATGAATGAACTTTAGAAATGTATCAAGGATTCACTACAGATTCTGCCAGTGTTCACAGCCTGTGCCTTCAACAACAACAGAAAAAGTAGCAGAGCATCCAATGAAATCAGCAATGTAACGATCTATAAATGACCTTGAGAAATGGTGAAGGAGAAAACAAGGAATACATAATAGGGATGTATCCTAAATATACAACTCTTCAATTATCAAATTTAAAAAAAAAGAACCTGAAAAATAAAACCATGAGTATCAACAGAACTCTATCAGTTCTTCCTACTAATCTTATCCCATGAGATTTAAAACCATGAAAGATGTGAAAGGATCCAGATTTCAACACCATTTTCAACTCAAAGTTCATACCTTTCCACATCAAACTCTTGGAGTGAAGAAATGGCATTAGCCTTAAATATTTCAGAATACTGACCAACTCTGCCCTTTCAATCACTAAGATTAAAAGCCTTTAAATTACTGAGAAGTATTTATTTTAAATTACTTTATTAAATAATTTATTCATTACTTCATACTATATTAATAAAACCAAAGATGATCCTTAAGGAGCTAATCACATGACCTGATTTGGACCATCTAGGTTTCCTTGAGAGACAAAGAGAAGCCAGGAGTTCAAAGCACCCACCATCATGATCTTGCTCCAAAGAGTTTGTCTATTTATTATATAAGGAGGAGAGGAAAAATACTTTTCTAAATGCAATTTGCATAAATGGCTGAATCCAGTATGAAAATCTGTTAAACTCACATCATATAAACCCCTATGTTACCACAAAGCAGCATTTTTGTATTTTCATATTTTTGATAATCCTGGATCACCTAGTGTAAACAATGAAAGTTAATTCTCTAAAATAGAGACTAGTATTATCCAAAATGGCTCAGGTAGGTGCTGATAACCTACAAGTTTATGCTGTGCAGTAGAGTCAGCAGGAGATAACTTACTGATGTCAGAAACTGTAGCAATGAGACTTACAGTAAGGGAAGCCTAAGGCAATTTTGCCAGCTTGCTCTAACAGCCACTAGAATTTCCATGTTCATTGAGAACTACCTGGTGCATACAGCATCACATTCCCCAGAAATCCAAACTCACAACTGATCACT